GAGATCTGTGTGAGGTCAAGATGTGACCCTGTGAAGACTCCCTAAAGCTGGTGCCAGGTGTCTGAGTCCATCTAACAAAAGGCTCTTATACTTAAACAGATATACGTGTGCTTGCTATACCATAAATCAACAAGAAAAGATAAACTCTCCTAGGGAGTATGTGATTTATACCAAGGACACTCTAGAGGAATGAATTCACTTCCTTCTACACAGAGTTAATACAGACCTCCTTTAAGATGAAACATTCTTTCAATCTACAAATGATTATACACTTCTAAGCATATGTGAGTAAATATTTCTAAGCATAAATGACAATCAACAATACAAAACCTTTCAATGTGTTAATCTTAAGAAAAACTAAGGTGTAACACTGAATTGATTGACAATTTATACTTTGTACTTTAAAAAAACACTCAAAAGAGGTGAGGATATTTTTGAGGACCACAGGTGAATGGCAAATGGGAAGACATTATGAGGGTTAAGAACAACCCTCCTGCTGATGGAGAGAACAGTGTTTGAGTCTGTACAAAGTGAAAAACACCAGCTGACCTCTGATGTTGGACAGAAGCACAGGAGTAGAGGAGAAATCCTCACAGACACTATGTTTATGGTGTTTACACTGCACGTTTGTGAAGCTCTGTCAAATATTAACTATAGATTCCTGATAACCTTTTGTTTATAAACGAAGGAGCTTCAGTGTGTTTAAGTTAAGCTCTCTGTGGCTCCAACCACTCAGTGTTCCTTCTTTCTTAACCCTTTAAGACCTACCATAGAACCAAGTCCGCCAGAGCTTATATTTGATCTTTACATGCTGTGGAGCCATTTTTTGGAGCATTTCAAGTTGCTATACATCAATACAACCATTATAGCCCAGATTTTAATAATATGTATGCATTAAGTGCATGTTATATACCTATGTGGTATGTGACTTTTGTTGCCATGATGCCAGGTCTCTCTTGGAAATGAGATTTTTAATCTGAATGAGATTTTTTACCTGGATTTTTTACCAGATTTTTTACCAGTTCCTCAGACTGTTCCTCAGACTGTTCCTCTCACTGTTCCTCTCACTGTTCCTCTCACTGTTCTTCACACTGTTCCTCACACTGTTCTTCTCACACTGTTCTTCTCACACTGTTCCTCACACTGTTCCTCACAGCGTTCCTCACACCGTTCCTCACACTGTTCCTGACAGTGTTCCTCACAGTGTTCTTCTCACACTGTTCTTCTCACACTGTTCTTCTCACACTGTTCCTCACAGCGTTCCTCACAGCGTTCCTCACACTGTTTCTCTCACTGTTCCACACACTGTTCTTCACACTGTTCCTCACACTGTTCCTCACAGCGTTCCTCTCACTGTTCCTCAGACTGTTCCTCTCACTGTTCCTCACACTGTTCTTCTCACTGTTCCTCACACTGTTCTTCTCACACTGTTTCTCTCACTGTTCCACACACTGTTCCTCTCACTGTTCCTCACACTGTTCCTCACACTGTTCCTCTCACTGTTCCTC